TCGGTATATTTAAAAGATATTATAAAGTAATTAAAAATATATTTATATAATTATTAATAATTCTTAATTTATTTTCCAAATCAAAAAATGTTAAATAGTAATTATTGATTAATTATACTGTTTTTCTTAATTAAAATATTTAAATTTGCTTTCAGTTGATATTTTAATTCAAAAATATAATTAATGTTAATTATTCAGTAATGTAAAATTGCTAAAAAATTGCATAAAACAAGCACCGTAGCTAATATATTATTAACATATGATTTATTATCCAGGTTAACTTTATATTTGCCACACATATCATCCAGTTCACAATTAATTTATAATAATTAATATTATTGTTAGTCAAGTAAACTGTAATCAATATATTTTATTCAATTGTAATTTATTTGATTTACTAATGCAATTATGCGCACAATTATTAGATAATATATATATATATATATATATATATACTTAAAATCAGTTTACTTTAAGAACAAAAAATTACTATTAAACTAATCGGTATTATTTTAAAAATATATAAAATTAATTAAAGTTAAAATATATTTTTTTAAAAATAATGTATTTTCAAGATCAAAAAAAGTATAAATATTTATTATATACTATAAACTTACTGTTTTTACGAACTCTCCAGAAAAATAGTACTTTTATTTTATTTATCAAATTTTTACAACAAAAAAAACTAAAAACAAATTAATTAGCTTTTAAAAATAAATTATGCAATAAATTCAATATAAAAATTAATATTAAATTAATCGACATCCTAAAGCTAAAATAAAAATATTTGATTATAAATTATTAATGTATTTTAAAACCAAAGAGTAATAATAGCTATTATAAAAAAATTACTTTTTTATGTTTAATGTATTTTTTTATTTATTATTATTTTATTTAAGAATAACTATTTTTAAACATTTCATAATTTTTGATATAATTAGAATTTTAAAAATAAAATAAATAATAATTATTATATTACATTTACAATTATATTACACTTGATGTACATAAACAAAATATATAATAATATTATACAATATATAATTAAATTATTAATATTTAATATAATTTTTGAATTACATATATGAAACAATTAAAATTTATTATTTAGTTTTTACAAAAAAATAAATAAATAAATATAACATATACATTAAATTTTAAATACATTTAAATAACATTTAAATAATTATCTTATATCTTTTATCTAAGAGTATTAAGTTTATTGATAACATTTTTTATAACATATAATTTAAAATTTATGTAATATTTAACAAATAATAAAAATAACAATAAATAAATTGAAAATAATAAAAATAAACTTTTTGCAAATGGATTGACAACATAATAAACAAATGCTAAACTGTTTATAATCAAAACAGTATATAAACAATAAATAATATATTGTAATTTAATTAAGTTTTTATTAATGAATTTATAGTCCAGATCAAAATTTTTTATACATTCGTCAATTTTTTAAAGATAAATAACAAAAAACATTTTTTGATAAAAATAAAATGTTATTTATAAAATCATATATATATATATATCCTCTAATTATTTAAAGCAAAGATAATTATTCAATGAAAAATATTAATTAAATGAATATATAAATATATTATGAAACAAAATATATATATTAATCATTTATGTAATTAATATTATTGTTTGAAAAAATTTAGCTTATTAATTATAGTATATTTTATTTTAAGCTTATAATTAATATAAAATCGTATAGTTAATGGAAATAATGTTAAAAATATCAAAATAATTATCAAAAATAATTTAGCAACATTGTTTTTAACATGATAATAAAATGCTAGACTGCAATTAAACATTATTAAATATAAACAATAAATAATATATTGAATTTTAAATAAATAGTTATTTATGCATTTAGTATCCTGGTCAAAATTGTTGATACATTCGGCAATTTTGAAACAATAATTTGGCGCAATTTTATCAAAATTATTTAATTGTTGATACATTTTCTGTAAAATTGTTGAATATTTTACTAATAATTCCAAATTCATTACTTGAATATAGATTAGCCAATTGAATATATAAAACACTGAAAACATTATGTGATGTGTAAATAAAATAGATGTTATTTTTGTTAAAAATATATCGTTAAAAGATTTATCGTTGAATGATATGTAGACAATTATTGAATGAAATGTACATGATAATATAATATAAATATACGATAGTGTATTATCTTGGTGAATTTTATATTTTCGATACATATCATCAAGTTCACTTTGAATTTCATGAATATGTTTTATGTTTAATAGCATATAAATATAGGATATTAATATACTAGTTAAACATATTAGTGAACATAATTTTACAATATAATCATCAGATTTAACGGGAAAAATAATTGCAAACATTGTTAACATTATAAACATTATATGTGTTGTTAATGCTATACCAATAAAAGCAATTTTTAAAATTTTATAATCATTATTCAAACCAAACGGTATTTCTATATATTTAATCATTATTAAAAAATAAATAAAATAACTTAAGTGGTTATAACTTGTTAAATTAATTTAATAAATTACAATTTAATATAATTGTACTAATTATTAAAAAAATTATTATTAATTAGTAAATTATTATATGATGAAACAGTATTGTTAATTTTTATTAGAAATATTAATATTGATGTTAAACTACTGTTTATTTTACTGTGTATTTTAATTATTAATATATAGTACTATAAATTACACTAAATATTAGATACAGTATTTAAAAAATAAATTTTATTTTTACTGTTAGTGAAGTAAATATCAAACTCAATATATTTAATTCAATTTTAATTTATATGATTTTCTAATGCAATTTTGCGCACAATTTTTAGTTATAGAAAATATTTATTTTTAAAAATTAGTTTACTTTCACAACATTAATAATTAATAAAAAAATACTAATAAAACTGTCGGTATATTTAAAAGATATTATAAAGTAATTAAAAATATATTTATATAATTACAATATTAATAATTATTAATTTATTTTCCAAATCAAAAAATGTTAAATAGTAATTATTTCTTAATTAAAATATTTAAATTTGCTTTCAGTTGACATATTAATAAAAAAACAAATAATATTTTATATAAAATATGTATAATATATATAATGTAAACTTGTTCAGTAATTTTATGCTAATTTGCATATTAATACATAACTGTATTAAATATATTATTAAATATTAAACACAAACATAATTTTACGTAGTTGATATTTTAATTCAAAAATATAATTAATGTTAATTTGTACAGTATTGTACAATAGCTAAAAATTGTATAAAAACAATCACCGTAACTAATATATTAAAAAAACATATGATTTTTTATCCAGGTTAACTTTATATATGCCACACATATCATCCAGTTCACAATTTATTTATAATAATTAATATTACTGTTAGTAAATTAAACTGTAATCAATATATTTAATTCAATTGTAATTTATTTGATTTACTAATGCAATTATGCGCACAATTATTAGATAATATATATATATACTTAAAATCAGTTTACTTTAAGAACAAAAAAAATACTATTAAACTAATCGGTATTATTTAAAAAATATATAAAATTAATTAAAGTTAAAATATATTTTTTTATAAAAATAATGTATTTTCAAGATAAAAAAAATTTCTAAATCATATATAACATAAAAATAATATTTATCTGTTATTTTTCAATTTTTATAATATTTCAGATTTTAAAATATTATTTATCGTAAAATCTATTTAATGCTTTTAAAAAAGTATTTATTTTCAGTAAATCTTATAGTATTTTATAAGATAAATGTAATGTTTTCTATTAACTTATAAAATTGTTAAGTACTTTATAATCCATTTTGAATTAAATAATAATTTCTATATTTATAAAAAAATTGATTTTTTGTTTTTTTCTAATTTTTTTCTATAATTTTAATACTTCACTAAAAAATTAATTATTTATTGAATCAAAAAAATATTTTATATTTTTAAAAAAAATATACTTATATTAATTTAAAGTATTAATAAAACTATAATATTTACAAATTAAAATAAATAATTTTTATAAAAGTTTTATAGAGTATATTGAAATTATATATTTATAATACATTAAATTTTATATTGATTTATTTTAATAAACTTAGTATAATTTTTTTTATAATTAATATTAGATTTTATATGTTTTATTATAAATATTTAATAGTTTATCAGTTTCTAGTGTGTTAAATAAGTAAAATATTAGATTAATAAAAATAAAATATTAATAACAAAGCTATTATTGTTTATATTAAAAAATATTTAACTTTATAATCTATTAAAGTATAGTATTAAAAAAGCATATAAAACTGTATATGAAATATTAATAAATATTAAATATAGATTTACTAACAAAAAAATTATTAATTTAATTACAGACATAATTTTCAAAAACAATTTAATTATTTATATATTTTCTTATAAAACTATAAATAACTTATAAAAGATTATGTTTAAGAAAAATATATAAATTTTATTATTATTATTATTATTTCCTAAATGTATTGTGAAATATAAATCTAATAACTAGAAAGTTATGTTTTCAATGTTAATACATATAATATTATGTTTATCACAATAATTAGATTAAATAAAAAAACAATTTAAAACATCTTTTTTATATTATAAAATGTTTAGTGTTTTTTTTAATAAAAAAATCTAATATAATAATTGAAAATATTTTATAGTTAATTCATTTTTTAAGTTTTATAAAATGAGATTTTATTATTTTAATCTTTTATAAACATTTTTAATATAGATTAGTATTTTTAATACAAACACATTTTATTTATATTACTATTAGATTGGTTGAAATGAAATTAGCCTAGATAGGTTAAGACAATTTTAATCAAATTTTTTTCTAATATTATTTAAATATAGTATCCGTTAGGCCGTATAACAAGTTTCATACGGTCGATCCACTTCTCATAGACCCCACGCCAGTCGGTTGGTTTTAGGTCTCCCAAAATGACTCAAAAGCGTTGTCAATATCAATTTTGCTATTAAATACCGTTCCTCTTAGGTGTTTCTTGAGATTTTTAAAAAGCCAAAAATTAGCTGGAGACAGATCAGGACTGTAAGGTGGGCGTGTTAAAAGTTGAACACCATTGTCATCGAGATATCGGGTTGTTACCAATGTTTTGTGAGACTTGGCATTATCGTGATACATTATAATGCCAGTTAGTCCAGACTTCGGGCGATCCTCATTGATAGATTCAAAGACTTTAGACAACCATTTTTTCACATACCAGTCGGTGGTAACCTTATATCCATTTCCCAATTTGAAAATTTTCACAATACTAGTCGAACGAAAAAATATGGCGTAGATTATCTTCTTTACATGCACTTCACGTTTGGCCAACTTCGGGATCTCTTCATCTTCTATGACCCATAACTATGCTTTTTTACTGTTTAATTTGTGATAAAAGTACACATATGTTGCGTCACCAGTCACTAATCGATAAATAAAGTGATTGCCGCCATTTTCAAAAATCTTCAGATTCTCCCGGCAGATCTTAACACGAGTAGCCATTTGGTCGGCCGACAACAAGTGGTGTACCCATTTGATACAAATATGTCTTGCGTTGCTATAATTGTGCAGAATATGATGTACTCTCTCGTTTAAGATATTCAGTATATAAGCCATCTGTAATAGCGTTATTCGCGGATATTCTTGTAGCAGTTCCCTAATTCTGGCCACATTTTCATCGGTGGTCACTTCCCGTGATTGACCCATCTTCGGGATGTCCTCAATGATGTACGACCAAATTTGAAGTAACGTTATCAATGCGATACTGTAGCTTAAATACCAGTATTTGTTCCCAATGTGCAATTAATTTCATCTGTTGGCTCCTGTGCCGACAGCGCGAGCCGATAATAATATGCAATTATTTCCCGAATATCGCGAGAACCAAAATTAATTGAAATTTCAGACATTACACACTTTAAGAAGTCACCAAAACTGAACCAAATGAGCAAATGTTGTGAAAAAAATTTTAGTGGCCTAAAAAATTGTGTACTTTTATTTGATAATAAAAGTTTTGTCATTTTTTATAGTTTGGATAGTGATGTGAATTACTTTCCTACTATTCCAATATATTAAATAAAGATACAAACAAATAATTAAAATTTTTAAGCAATTATTTACTGAAAACATTGAAATGTACTTTAAATGTAATATATATATCAGGGTTAAGCAAGGTTTTGGATTTTAGGGGGGGGGTAGACCGGGGTGAAATTTGCAAAATTCTCGAAAAATCTTGGGGGGGGGTATTGGGTGGGGTAAGATTTTTATTGCATTTTTAAACGGCAATTTTTTCAAAAATCCAAAATCAAGGGGGGGGTCTAGAGAAAATTCCCTAAAAATTACTTAAGTTCCCGAATATTCCCATGTAAATTCGATAAAATTCCCATAAGTTCCCGTATAAATTCCCAGGAAAATAGGTAAAATTTCCAAAAAATTAACAAAAACTTAAATTTTAACAAAAAAATAAATATTTTTTGAAAAAAAAAATTTAAAAAATTAATAAAAACTAAAATTTTTACAAAAAAAGTAAAATAATGTATTTTTGATTTAAAAATATTTGATAAAAGCATTTATGATACACAATGAGTTATTTTTTGTATTTTAACAATTTTTAACTTTTAACAATTAATTTTTTAAATAATACTTAATGTTTATAGTTTATTATATATTTTTATTTTTAAAATGTTTTTTTATACAAATACTGACTGAATACTACTTATTTAACTCAATTTTCGTTAAAGTTTTAGTTATATTAAATATAAAATTGAAAATATTTTTAAATTTAAATTTAAAAATTATTAATAAAAAACTTATAATATAAGTATTTATTGTTTTATTAACTTCCTAAACTATCTTAAACTTATATTTAAATTGTTATATGATTACTCTTTTCAATAAATAGGTAATTTTTAATTTTTTAGATTATTTTAATTAAAATAATGTTATTTTTGGATGAGTTTTAACGTTATTTTAACTATTTTTAATCAATAATTAGATTCTTATAAATATTAAAAACATAAAAACACTTAATAAAATAGTATCAACTAAAATTAAAATTTTTATAAATCTCAAAAAAATTTTCGGCGCAAAACATTTTATTTAAATACTACAATAAATTTTTTAAAACAATTATTTAATGAGAACATTGAAACATATTAATACATCTATTATATAAATAATTATGAAATATTTATAAATCTTCAAAAATGATAGTTTTATTTAACAATTTTTTAATTACATTATATATATATATACAGTATATAATTTTAACTTTAAAATTTAGTTTTTAAAAATAATATTAACATTAACCAGTTGAGAATGCTTTAAAAGCATTTCCACACGAATTCCTTAACTTAAAAAGGAAAAAATTTTAAAAAAATAAAAAAAAAACAGTTGAGAATGCTTCAAAAGCATTCCCATACGATCTCCTTAACTTAAAAAAGAAAAAAACCAAAAAAAATCAAAAAAAATTTTGTAGCGGAGCCTGGATTCGATCCTATGTCCTCGTGGGTCAGACAGACGGACAGACGGACAGACGGACAGACTTTTAGAATGCATATACGTATTCCTTTCAGGAATTCGTGAAAAGGGATAATTAAAAAAATATATAAATATTATTATAAATAATTGTTAGTCAATCAACTAATACATGTTTCCAAAATATTTAAGTTTATTAATTACAGTAAATTTGATTTTAAGTTTATTAATTATAATTATATAAGTTCACAATTAATTTCATGATTATGTTTGATGTTTAATAATACATTAATATAGGAAATAATTATAATAATTAAACACATTAGTGATACTAGTTTTACAACAATAAAATAATCAGATTTTATGGGAAAAACAATTTACATTAAATAAGATAATAATACTGTAGTTGCACACATTTTATATTTTTTTATTATAATAATTAATATAATATTTTATTTATATAACATTTTATTAATATTATTAATAAAAACTTTTTGTTATTATATGTTATTTGTAAACTAGCAAAATCAATTTATATTTGTTTTGTTTATATAAATTTTTACATTACTATTTTACAGAAATGTAAAAATTTTGTATTAATTTAAATAGAAGTTTTCATTTAATTATGTTGACATAAAATAAATTTTGATTAATATTATTTGTATTTTTTATAATAATTTTATATAATAATAATTTATAACAAACTATAGATTTTTTACATTTATATGATTTTACTATTATTTATTATTATTATTATTATTATTATTATTAATAATAATTTATTTTTTAACAAATTGTGATAATTAAAAAAATAAGTAATTTATTATAATTTATTACATAACTTGCGAAACAATATATTATATAACAATTATTACATATAACTTAAGTACTAAAAGTTTTTTAAAAAAAAGATTTGTTTTATATATATATATTTAATACTGAATAACATATATATATATATATTTGATATAATATAATATAAATATAATACTATAAATAAACTAAAGCTATTACAGATGAGCACAATTTGATACTATATTTACAATAATTATTTATAATTTTTTTATTATTAGAAATGTTATTTTTTAAAAATACATTATTAATATTATTAATATATAAATATTACTCACATACACACAAAACAATATTTAAAATCATTTATTAGTATCATAATAAATAATTTAAAAAAAAATAATTTTAAAAAAATAATTTTTAATACAATTTTTAATACAATTATTAATACAATTATTAATACAATTATTAATACAATTATTAATACAATTATTAATACAATTATTAATACAATTATTAATACAGTTTTAATTTCTTATTAAAATAATAATATTATTTTTTTAAAAATATATTTATATAATTAGTTTTGTAACTATCTGTATATTCTAATTATTTAAAGCAAAAATAATTATCAATGAAAAATATTAATTAAATGAATATATAAATATTGATATATATGAAACAAAATATATATTAATCATTATCTAATTAATATTTTTGTTTTAATAAATTAAGTTTATTAATAACATAATATTTTATTTTAAGTTTACTATTAATATAAAATCTTGTAATCAGTGGAAATAATAATAAGAAAATATTAATTATTAATATTAATATTTTAGCAACATTGAGTTTAGCATGATAGTAATATGCTAGACTGCAATTAAACATTATTAAATATAATGAATAAATAATATATTGAATTTTAAATAAATATTTATTAATGCATTTAGTGTCCAGGTCAAAATTGTTGATACATTCAGCAATTTTAAAACAATAATTTGCCGGAATTTTATCAAAATTATTTAATTGTTGATACATTTTCTGTAATATTGTTGAATATTTCACAAATAATTCCAAATTCATTACTTGAATATATATTAGCCAATTGAATATATAAAATACTGAAAATATTATGTGATGTGTAAATAATATTGGCGTTAATTTAGTTAAAAATAAATCGTTAATAGATTTATCGTTGAATGATATGTAGACAATTATTGAATAAAATGTACATGATAATATTATATAGATATACGATAGTGTATTATCTGGATGAATTTTATATTTACGACACATATCATCAAGTTCAATTTGAATTTCTTGAATATGTTTTATGTTTAATAGCATATAAATATAGGAAATAAATATACTAATCAAACACATTAGTGAACATAATTTTACAATAAAATCATCGCATTTAACGGGAAAAATAATTGAAAAAATTGTTAACATTATAAACATTATATGTGTTGTCAATGCTATACCAATAAAAGTAATTTTCAAAATTTTATAATCATTATTCAAACCAAACGGTATTTCTATATATTTAATCATTATTTAAAAAATAAAATAATAATTATTATTATTACATATTATTTTTATCTATATATATATTAAGATGATATAAAATTATTTTATTAAAAGTAAGTATAGATATAACTGTATTATAAATAATTTGACATATTATTATTTATTAATAATAAATGAACTTTTTTTTCAATCAATATTAATACAAACAAATACATTAAAATGACACTTAAAACAACTTTTTCTAATTTTATTATATAAGTTATACAATGTTCAACTTTATTATTATTATTATTATTATTTTTAAAATACTTAATTTCAAATAATTAAAAATTACATTATTATGAGAGTTTGCTGTTAGTTTTCAATCTTTATAATAATAAGATTTTAAAATATTATTTATCATAATAACAGGATTTAAGATTTTTATTGATTTATTTTTTTTTATTTACAGATGCGCACAATTTTAATAATTTTTAATAAAAATATTAACTTATTTAACTTTATAAGTTTTAGTAAATTTATAAAAGCAAATTATTATTTTATTTTTATTTATTTTTTTGAATAAATTAAATGTTTAGCTTTTAGTTTACAATTTTTTATGTTAGTTGAATAAAATTATCACTGTATTTGAATATATTTAATTGATTTTAGTATTTTATTATTAAATCTGATATGTTAATATTGAATATATTTATTTGATTTATTTAATTTATATATATATATATACTTACAAACGATATAAAATTATTATATTATTATTTATTATGTTCAATAATTATTAATAACAAATAAAGTATACTAACACAAACAAACTACTAAAAAAATATGATTTAATAGTATATTTGTTACACAAATTATATAATATTAGATTTAATACTGTATTTTTGTTTTTAATTACAATATTTATA